TAGTAATTGTTGTAGCCCATGAGACCCATGTGCACAATGTATGTATGACCACCCATTGTATAGAGTACAATATCCACACTAATAGTGCCATCAGTACGTTGTTTACAAAACTTGTATACTCAACAATGTAAACAGACATGTGTCCAAATGCTTCACATGACTACTGTTGTAACATTGATATGTATATTTACAGGCACTGGTCATGTTCTTAGAACTGATGCAGTCTGCGGAAGCCTTTGAAGCACAGCTTCATATGCAGTGGTGTTTTACACGCTCTACACACAAGCTCGTGTCCCTGTGCTCTACTAGGCACCTTGTGTGCATATAGACATAACATCTCTTCTTAGCCCATTTCTTCTTGTCTATATTTGGTGATCAGTAAGGTGGTTCATATGTAGTGCAGATGTTGTGACCTGGTATTTCTGTATTATTTGTCTGATGACAGACAAATAAAATTAGGCATATGGTAGTTTGTTGCTAGTCTTGTTCTGGTACATATGCATTCTGCATTGCAGTGTCCACAAGATAAAAGAAAAGTTTAATGTACCATTTGTAACTCTTGCAGACAATCAGGAAACCCAATCAGCATATCACTTTTGTCCACCAAGTAAATACACAGTGGTGTAATCCATGACACCATTTGATCTCAAGGGGTTCATTGGTATCTATTCACCTTTCATGTGTCATTCATTTCATACTGGTAGATTGATGTCAACAGTGTCACATCATGTTTGTTGTACCACTGAAATGCCCTTATATGAAACACCTGTACCTCACTGTTACCAGTGCTTGTGTTGACCCTGGGCATATGTTCACATGTTCCTTGCACTGTATTATGCATCCCTCATGTTCACATGCAGAAAAGTCATCGAATAAGGGGCTTGTGTGCCAGTTATCTGTGCAGCATGGTGAGCAGTGGTATACTAAGATGGCATTCCCACAGTGCACTGTGGTAACCCTGTTTTTTTTGGGGGGGGATGCTGTGCACACTGCATGGACCCATTCTCTCATAACTAGGCCTACCTGATCTCTCATGGCAAATTTGAGGGTGCTAGAATTTGTGTAGATATATGTCAGCAACACTGGTCTCAATAAAATAGATCTACAGACAAGACATTGAAAAGGTTAATTTATCAACCAATTTTACAAAAATTTTCCATTGTGTATCAGTGCTATCAGGTATCATTTTTTTAAATTTCATTCTGATTAGATAGATTTTGAATTATGGAACTAAATTTAGTCGAACATCACTAATCAACTCGATCAGCACAAGAAGTGATCTGGAATAACTTACCAGATTCAGTATAAAACAGTGAAAACACTATTAGGAAAAGTAAGATACATAACAAGGATTATAGTTGTATGCCACTATACATCACTACCTGACGTATAGTGGTCTCATTTCAGCTGTTATGGAATATGGAATTACAATGTAATATTGTATATGCAAGAGAAGTTTCTGATGTGATTCTGGTTAATGATCTGCACTTTGCTTAAGAATCACAATGTTATTGGCTTAATACATTTTCTGACTCCCTCATGCATTAATTAGTGCTTTACAAGTCACCAGCATATATACTGGGTAGTATTGATTAGACTTGTGAAATAAAAAAAAAAGCACTAGTCATGGGAGGCTATATGCTCTCCTTTCCTGCAAGTGCTTTTTTATGGCCCTACACATTCTTTGATGGCTTTGTGCATTATTAAAAGCAGTACCAACCACCAACATGTACAGCAAGGTGTAAGACTTCATTTATGAGTAAAATATCAGTGGTGTGGATGGTTAGACTTATGAGATAATAATGTAGGAGAGGAAGGTCCATACGTGAGTGACTGGTGCTTGCTCTCGCCTCATGTTGGTTTCTAAAGTGCATTTAAGAGCAAGATGCCTGCTGTCTGGCATAAGTCAGCTATTTTTAAAAAGTATCGAATTACTACAAATATTAAAAATTTAGTTCGTTATAAAAATGGGGAAAAAAAAAAAATGTACCAGAACAGCCAGAATAAAGAAGCATGTTATAATAAATATAATATCAGAGCAGCCAGAATAAAAGAGCATTCTATAATGATATTAAACTGTATAATACAGTATTTTGCTACACAATTTAAAAAAAAGTATTTTTCATATCTAACTGTAAATGTGTGAGATATTAACATACCACATACACACAATGTCAGTTTTATCTAGGTGCTGTTACAATATTTATAAAATGAGAAAATTTCCAGACACATTAATATATGTTGAGGTAATTAACCTTTTCAGGGTTGAGAGGCCCTCTCCTAAAATTGTTCTCAGGGCCGAAAATTTTTCGAAAAAAAAAGCAAATTATTTTTTCTTATGGAATGATAGGGAATCTTTTCCTGATCATAATGACACCAAAAATATGAAATTTGATGGAAAACCTACGGAATTATGCTCTTGCGAAGTTAGCAGTCTCGACGATGTTTACGCATCGGCAATTTCACCCACTTTGAGCCCTATTTTCAGCCAATTCCAGTGTACTAGTTGGCAAAAATCATAATTATTTTGCTAGAACTCTATTTTTTCTATCGAATGAGTACAAGAAACCACCCATTTACCGATTTCAACTATCCAGTAAAGTGGTCAGAAATTAGCAATTTTGCCAATTTCACACACATTTCAGAAGATGCCAATTTCCAAATAGAGTCCAGAATAAACAAGACAGACATTTCTAGCACTAAAATAACATTTTCTCATGTCCCCAGGCCCCTCTTACATTTCTTGTGCTTTCCACTTTGAATTTTTATTCTCGCAAAAAATAAAAGATTTACTGTTATGCATTAGTGTAAAAATGGTATAAATAATATCAGCGCACTTGTGAAACAATATTAGACTCACCAGTTGATGTATATTGGACACTTGGCATGATTTGTTTACTTTTGAACTTTGGCAAAAATCGAACATTTCTGCTATTTTGAGCTCAATTTCAAGGTACTTTTCATTGTGAAACCAATCAAAATCATCTCAATTTCTGTAATATGTCTTTCATTCTATAAAATGAGACCAGGAAAACTAGAATACAACAATAAATACCATATGAAAATACAGTGCAAATTTGCCGTTTTAAACCAAAAACACAGTTTTTTTTCTGATTACGCACTGTGTGCTGCAGGATTTTATTTATACTGTGCACACTGACCACATAGACCCATTCTTTCATATGTAGGCCTACCAGCTTTCTCTCGCTAGATTTGAAGGCACTAGAATTTATGCTTACTAGTACGTCAAAAACCCTGGTGCGTAAGCCATTCTAGTACGTCAGAAACCGTGAAAGGGTTAACCTATAGCATGTTCTGTTGACCAATTTTCATTAAGTAGTGCAAACAAAGTAAAAAGAGTGAGAGCATTAACATACCATATAGCTGTTACACACAGTACTTACAGTGTAAGAAAATAAATTTCACAGTAATGCATGACATTCATAAAGTCTGATATTAAACTCCTATTTTCTTTTTTTTTTAATGAGGTTGAATACCCCCCCTTAGGGTAAAAGACAAAATGGTGATTTTGCTGCCATTAGCAAAAATTCACAAATATTTATTGAAGATTTCATATATAAGGTAGTACAGTACAGAACTTTAAACCTGGCAGTTTTACTAGAGATTTTAAAATTTTTGCCTTTTTTTTTTCAATTTTGGACTGGGATGTTGGCTTTTGATATGCATATATTTAAAATAATTATATTAATTGTATTGTAATATGCAGCAAAATCATTAATTGGCACATTGTTGCCTTTATTTACTGAGGATTGCTAAAGAATTATTTCCCAACTCCATGCACAACTGCTTGGTGCAAGTCAGTGTGGTGTTACACTAAGATATTGGATTCCTCTCCCTATATTGTATTTTAATATAATATGTCCTTACTGAAAGAGACTGCCTTTTTTTTAAATCGTGCCGCTGCATAAAAGCCTGTTTATAATGCAAAACAGAAGTTTGAACTGTATCAAAATCATTAGTCATGTAATATTCTAATAATGTTTTTGCAGTTGCACTTGTGCTATTAAGTTTTGGTTATAAAAAATATGGTGAAGTTAAGGTTCTGGCACAAATACACATTGCATATACAGTACAGTATTTAGCAGGAAGAGCCTGTAAAGCTACAATATTTTATATATAACAACAGTGATGGCAGTATCTGGCTGACAGGGTAGCATTCACTTCATTCTTAATGTGCTCTGCTCATTAGTTTTCATGTTATTTTTATCTTTTGCATGCATATAGATTTGTGTATACATTACTCATACATGGTACACTAAGTTCTTGTACATGTGTACCCACATAATATTTCAACATCTGTGTGCTGTATGTGCACATATGTATGAACAAGTTCTTATCCATATTTAACATGTAACTAGTTTATTTTTTTTTTCAATAATACAAAAATACTGCAAATAATTTGCTTTATTGTTACAAAGCTGTCCAGTATACCTAATTTATTTTTTGACATGCATGAGGACGTACATTAGTTAAAATTGCAGTGCAGTATTATTTTACATGGCAAATGTACATTCGTATAATTAGGCTGACAAATACATAGTTTTTCTGATTATATGCTCCATCTTTTCTGACAAATTTATTTCAGTTATAAATATCAGGATTTTATTTTTTACTAGATTGTAATCTTTGGTGTAAATATTATTTGTTACAATTTGTTTAAATGTATTGTACATGTGAAAAAGTGGTTGCTGCTTCCTAGATAAAGCCACATTGCATGAAGTTGGGCCAGGGAGTATGTTTTATAATACCAAGAGTTTTCGTATTCAGTAAAGCCAGTAGAGCCTATTATGCTCATATGAGTTTATCCACATGCTTCAGAATTTCATCTGGTTATGTAGGTGTATGAAGTATTTTTTTTTGTTAGGTCTCCCTTATTTTCTGTAATAGCTTAGTTGCAGAATGTCCTTAATATTGCAGGTTAAATATTAGTATTCTACAGACTAATCTATGTACAGTACTTGGAGTTTTTTCTTTGTTTTCATACAGAAGAATTCTTTTTTTATTATAGGCACTTCTAGTTGTTATTACTCGTATGAATAATAAGAATGCAATAAACAGCATAGTGAAAGTAATGTAATTTCAGTCAGTATATTGAACTTTAAATTTCTCTTTAATTAACATTCCGTATTTTATTGAGTTATAAAAACATTTTATAATGAACAATAATTAATTTGTTTATTTTCCAAACAGTCAGCAATTCAATGGCTGTGCAAACAGCAGGCACCCCAGTTGATTCACTAGAGGTGAAAGTCAGTGAAGGAACTCTAGCATCACCATCTCCTTCCGTAGCATCGCCAACACAAACTGTGATACAGGAGCAGCCTCTTAGCAGCTCCCCCACCATCAATTCCTCACCACTTAATACAACACCACTTTCTGCACATAAAGAGAATATTCCCCTCTCAAACCATGTGAATAATAGGTAAGTGCTTTTTTCTACTTTTTAGCTTGTCAGCCATCTCATATCATGTTAGGGTGACCCAAAAAAAGAGGAAATGCATGGCGACATAATCCAGATGATCCTCCAAACTGCATAATATACCCACTCCAGAGTGCAGGTACTGTACTTCCCACCTCCAAGGCTTGAGTCTGGCTAACCAGTTTTCTTGAATTCCTTCACAAATGTTATCTTGCTCACATTCCAACAGCTCATAAAGTTCAGAAAACCATTTGCTGCCACTCACTCATATCTAACACACTCGCACATGCCTGCTGAATGTCAGAGCCCCTTGCACACACGACCTCCTTTGCCCCTTCCCTCCAACCTTTCCAAGGATAACCTATACCCTTTCTTCCCTCCACTACAGTTTTATACACCTTCCAAGTCATAGTATTATAATCCATCCTCTCTAAATGTCCAAACCACCTTAACAACCCCTCCTCGGCTCTCAGGATGATACCAGTGTAAATATAAATGCTGATTGCAAAACAACCATGGGGGAGTTGAATGATAGCTCTAGGGCTTTCATGTTGCAATCAACACATCAGGAGCTTGCAATGTTGTAGAAATGATTATATAATTCAGGAAAATCCATTCAAGGCATCAAACAGGGCATATGTGCCAGGTGCCAAAAAGTTGAAGGCAAGATATTAAAACAGTACAGGTACAATGCTGACTTTCTGGACACTGATGGACTGGAACCTCTTATAATCCGTATAAATTTATGAACAGGAACTTGAAATTCCAGCGGCTGCCAGACTAGTTTACTGGGCAGCCCCAGATGGCGTTGAGTGTAGCTGTGCTCACTTAGATTGTTTACTCTGCACCTGCTGGTGGGGGACACCCCCAATTCTCTGAGTTTCTTAGCTTATTTTGATTTAATTAACCAAAGCTATGGCTTCTAAGGGTGGTGTCTGACGTAAACACCAGTCCGTATCAATTAAAGAGAAAATTGAACTGTTCAGAATGCAGTGAAAGCTGGCAAGTCTGTACCAACATTTATTAAAGAATTTAACATGAAGGATGTTCATTGGTTGATTGCTAGAGCAGTCAACCAAAGAACATCCTTCAAGATTATTAATTAAATTAAATTTTCATTTAATTTGTTTAATAGTCTTGTTCAATTAATCTGTTTCACAGTACCCTGCACTGTACAGTATTAACTAACCTTTTGAGGGTCCGTCCTGTAGTTCTATGGATTTGAAGCCAGGGTCCAAGCCGTAGTCTTACATCATTAGCTCAGCTTACTCAGTTAACCCTTTGACTGTCGCGGTCGTATATATACGTCTTACGAATTACCGTGTTTGACGTATATATACTCATAAATTCTAGCGGCTTCAAATCAAGCAGGAGAAAGCTGGTAGGCCCACATGTGAGAGAATGGGTCTGTGTGGTCAGTGTGCACCATATAAAAAAAAATCCTGGAGCACAGAGTGCATAATGAGAAAAAAAAAACTCCGACCATTTTTTTTAATTAAAATGCCGAATTTGTGGTCTATTTTCGTATAGTATTTATGGTTGTATTCTCGTTTTCTTGGTCTCATTTGATAGAATGGAAAACATATTATAGAAATAGCAGTGATTTTGATTGATTTTACTATAAAAAGAACCTAGAAATGGAGCTCAAAGTAGGGGAAATGTTTGATTTTTGCCAATGTTCAAAAGTAAACAAATGATGCCATTGTCCAATAAATGTCCAACTAGCCATTCTAATATGCAGTCATGAATAGGATGATGTTATTTATACAATTATTACAGTATTGCAGTAGTCTGCATAATAGTAAGTCTTCTATTTTTTGTTTGAATAAAAATTCAAAATAGAAAGCAAGAGTAATATCAGAGGGGCCTGGATACATGACTGATGAGCATAGAAAATGTTATTTTAGAGCCAGGAATGTCTGCATTGTTCATTCTGGACCTTATTTTGAAATTGTCATATTTTTTAGTTTTCGTGAAATTGGCCAAATTGCAAATTTCTGACCACATTATTAGGTAGTTGAAATCGGTAAATGGGCAGTTTCTTGTACTCAATCGATAGAAAAAATGGAGTTCTAAAGAAATAGCTATGAGTTTGGGCTACTGGAACAATGGAATTAGCCGAAAATAGGGCTCAAAGTGGGCGAAATCGCCGATTTGTAAACAGCGCCGAGGTTGCTAACTTTGCGAGAGCATAATTCCGTCAGTTTTCCATCAAATTTCGTTTTTTTTGGTGTCATTACAATCGGGAAAAGATTCTCTATCATTTCATAAGAAAAAATAATTTTTTTTTTTTTTTAAATTTTGCGACACCAGGAGACACCTCAGGATTGGGGGTTGCGACAGTCAAAGGGTTAAGATGTGAGCAGTAAATTTGGGCCTAGATATGAGAGAATGCATCTATGTGGTAAGTGTGCACCATATAAAACAAATCCTGCAGCATGCAGTGCATAATGAGAAAAAACTGCCACTGTGTTTTTGGATTAAGACAGTGACTTTGCAGTGTATATTCATACATTTTTTATGGTTGTATTAATTTGATAGAATGGAAGATATATTACAGAAATGGAGATGATATTCATGGCATGAAACTGAGCTCAAAGTAGTGGAAATGTTCGAGTTTTGCTGATGTTCAAGAGTAAACAAATGTCATGCATCCAATACATGTCAGCTGGTGGGTCTGATGTGTGTTCATGAATGCACTGATATTATTTATACAATTATTACAATATTGCATAACAGTAAATCTTCTATTTTTTGGTGTGAATAAAAATTCATTATGCGAATAAGAAATCAAAATGGAATTCATTTGTAAAGCCTGGAAGCATAACCAATAAACAGTGGAAGTGTTAGTTTAGTACCAGGAATGCCTGCATTGTTTATTCTAGACCCTGTTTTGAAACTGGATTATTTTGAACTTTGTTTGAAATTGGCCAAATTACCAATTTCCAATCACTTCATTGGGTAGTTGAAATAGTTGATTGGGTGATTTCTTGTACTCACTTGATAAAATAAAGTAATATTAGTGAAATAGCTAAGAATCTGGTTGACTGGAATAATGTAATTGGCCTAAAATAGGAGTCAGTGGGAAAAATCATCAATGCGTAAATATTGCTGCTGCATCAAAATTTGTGAGTGTAATTTCATAAATTTTCCATAAAATTTCGTACTTTTTGTTTTATTACCTTCAGAAAAAGATTTTCTACCATTTCATAAGAAGGATTTTTTACTTTTTTTCTTTGAAAATTCTTGGGCCCTGTGGACAAGTTTCAGATTGGGATTCTGAACCCTGAAAGGGTTAATGAACTTGTATCATTTATACTAATGTACAGGTACCTGTATTTTATATAATTAAGTAAATTTAACTTTTGTTAAATTTAGTGTTGAAAAGGATGACCACCCCTACTCCTGAAAAATCAGTAATCCAGAAAGGCTTAGGAACCAAAGGTTCCGGAAAATTGATGTTGTACCTGTAGTAGTAGAGGCATAAAGAAACCCCACAACATTAGTACTGTGACAACTATCTCTACACCGTCAGGCTTCATATTGTATCATCATACAAAACTTTAATATTCTGATCTCAAAGTATCTGACATCTATCAGTATGGGAATTTTCCATTGCATAAAGAAAATGAAGGAGCAGCAAGAAGGCAGACCCTCCTATTTCTAGAGGTTGTCCTAATACCCCCTCAGGTAAATGCTGGTTTATCCAGGAAGTTGATAGGAAGCAGCCATAGATAAACCAGCATTTACCTGAGGGGTATTAGCTAACCTAAATATTTAATGTCGATGGGTTTCTTTGTCTCTACCATTACTGTTTTAATATCTTGCCTTCAGCTTTCTGGCACCTGGCACATATGCCCTGTTTGATACCATCTCATTCTAGCTAGAGTTGTTCCCTTGAATGGATTTTCCTGGATTTCTTACTCATTTCTGCAGCACTGCAAGTTTGTTTGTAATTTTTGCATAATGTAAATGCTGATATAAACATAGACTAAAATTATGATCAGTGTCATTATTATTTGTTCCCTGGTTGTTGACAGACATATAGGATATCTAAATGTGATTGGTTTATTTCAGGGTGGACTCTATTCCAAATGGTCATGACAAGTCTGTATCACCAGCACGTGTGGGAGAGATGGAAGGAGAGTCCAGGAAAAGAAAATACCCAAGTGATAAGGCTTATTTTATTGCCAAGGAGATCTTGACCACAGAGAGGACATACAAAAAAGATCTTGAAGTAATGAACTTGGTGAGTTTTATTGAATTACTTATAGATTTGCTCTCTTTCCACTTTACCATGGAAAATAATAAAATGCAGTGATTTAAATGTTTATATGTCAATTATTTATACAGGCAGGCCCCTGCTTTACAGTGCTTTACTTTACAGCATTTTGCTAATAGAGCAGTTTTCAATTTATACCCATTCTTCATTTATTCAGACTTTCTACAATAAATATATTCACCACTCACTATAAGCTAAGCTATAAGGGAAGTATCCTTGGCTCACTTCTCTTTCTCATTTACATAAACGACCTACCAAATGCATCTCAACTACTCAAACCCATACTATTTGCAGATGACACTACATATGTCTGCTCTCACCCAAGCCCAGTCATACTAGCCAATACTGTAAACACTGAATTACAGAAAATATCTACCTGGATGATAATTAACAAGCTTACTCTCAATATTGACAAAACCTATTTCATTCAGTTTAGGAACAGAGCTACAAATGTTCCCCTTAACATAATGATAAATGGATCACCTATCACAAAACTCAGAGGGAAAATTCTTAGGAATCCACCTTGATAATAGCCTCAAATTTCAGACACATGTACAACAACTTTCCAAGAAAGTCTCAAAGACCATAGGCAAACTATCGAAGATACGGTACTGTGTTCCACAATCAGCTCTCCTTGGCCTGTATCGCTCGCTTATTTACCCCTATCTCACCTATGGAATCTGTGCATGGGGCTCAACAACAACAAATCATCTCAGACCATTAATTACCCAGCAAAAGGCTGTAGTCAGAATGATGATAAGTCCCCACTCCAGACAGCACATTCCACCAATATTTAAAAGTCTAAATTTACTCACTGTACAAAACATCCATACTTATTATTGTGCCTACTACATACATAAAACATTAAACTCGGATATAAACCCTCCCCTCAAACTTCTTACCAACCTTAACAGAACACATGACCATAACACAAGACACAGATCACTCTTTGATGTTCCACATGTCCATCTCACACTATGTAAAAACTTAATGCACATAAAAGGCCCAAAAATTTGGAATTCATTACCAGTGAATACCAAAGAAACACTGTATATCAATTCAAGACTCTTAAAAACCACCTACTCGCGCAAAACTAATTACAGTGGACCCTCGATCAACGGCTTTAATCCGTTCCAGAGAGCTAGCCTTTAGTCGAATTAGCCGTTAGTCGAATTAATTTTCCCCATAAGAAATAATGGAAATCCAATTAATCCGCTCCAGACAGCCAAAAGTATTAAAAAAAATTAATTTTTTACATGAAATATACATTTCCCTACACAGAAAACAAGGAGACATGCCCAATACATACATGAATAAATACTAAAATGACATTTACGTTTATTGAAGAGTATTGTTGAGTGATAAGACACTGTTTTTGTTGAACACACTGGGATTTTCACAGTGATACATGAGTAAAGGCTTCACTTTACAGTCCCCACTAGCATTATAACAAAACATGAGAGTTAGCCTGTCTTTCATAGGCTTGTGTACTGGGAGTGCCTTTTTCTCCTGAGTAATGAGTAGTGTAAGTCCTGTTTGGCATTTTTTTCCAGAACAGGCCTGTTTCGTCACAATTAAACACTTGTTGGGGTTGGAATTTTTCAGCTTCACCATGCCTTATCACACTGTGTATGCCACTACGATTCTTAAATCTCTCAAACCAACCTTTGCTGGCCTTAAATTCACCAATATGAGCACTAGTTCCAGACATATTTTTTCCTGTTCACCTGGGTGTTAGTCGACTGGTGTGGGTCGCATCCTGGGGGGACAAGATTAAGGACCCCAATGGAAATAAGTTAGACAGTCCTCGATGATGCACTGACTTTCTTGGGTTATCCTGGGTGGCTAACCCTCTGGGGTTAATTGTTTCATGGTATTCTCGATCAGCCACACCAACAACAGTCTCTCCACATTTCCAAGTAGTACAGCTGACCACGGTGCAGCAGCAGCTGACTGTGGTGCGATAGTATTTTTATAGTATTTCTCACCCGTTTTACCACAGGGTTAGCACTAGAGGCTTTCTTGGGGCCCATTGTGGCTTATTTAGCAGTTACAAGCACTAAAAACACTGGAATAATACAAAATATATCGCAGGTACACATGGAATCTACCACAACAACTTGTGAACATTGGCACACTGAGTCTTGGAGTGGCTGGGCCTGCTCAGGCTGCAGGGACACGTTCGGGATGAAAGCCGTTAAATGAATTTTTTGCCGTTGGTAGAGCCATTTTTTTTGCCAAAGAGCGCCATTAGAATTTGCTGTTAGTCGATGACGCTGTTGGTTGGGGGTTGACTGTACACAGTATTTAATTTAACTTTACCTACATAGTTAACAAATCACTTTCTACTGCCTCAAAATATCATTACTCACTGTGTTACTCCCCTAGCCTTAGGACCCCATAATTAAATGCTCACAGATCAATAAATTCTCATATCTAACCGAATGCAAATATTGCATAACTTACATCTCATAAATGTATAACCCAGTTGTATAATTAGAGAAACCTTATCAAACTATGTTTTTATAGCATTACCTAATAGAATAATCCATTCTCTTCAATGCTCTGTAACTCATCTAATGACCATATGAACTGTTACTGCACTTCAGACCATTGATTTGATCTGATTAGATCTGATTATTAAATTATACGACTACATATAGTAAATTGATTATTTTGTTATATTACTAACTGTAATGTTACAAAATTGTAAAACTATAATGCTACAAACTTGAAATGTACAAATTCATTGTTTAAAATAGCTCAATTGTACTTGATATTGTAAATTGTCTACAGTAACTGTTGCCATTAAATCTATTATAGCTTAGATAGTCTTAAGTTAATTTTAAGGCTGCCTATAATGCTTTGCATTATGGGCAGGCTTTCAACATGTACATCCAACTACTATAATACTTTGTACAAATATGTATCATGTCCTAATAAAATATTATTATTATTATTATTACTGAAGCTTTCTTAACTTGTTTAACTCACTCCAAAATTTTTTCTTATTTTCATTAAAATTTCTTGACAGTGCCTCTCCCACTCTATCATCTGCTTTCCTTTTTGCACTCTCTCACCACTCTCTTTACCTTTCTTTTACTCTCCATATACTCTACTTTTCTTATAACACTTCTGCTTTGTAAAAACCTCTCATAAGCTAACTTTTTCTCTTTTATCACACCCTTTACTTCATCATTCCACCAATCACTCCTCTTTCCTCCAGCACCCACCCTCCTATAACCACAAACTTCTGCCCCACATTCTAATACAGTGGTCCCTCAATTATCATCCATAATCCGTTCCTGGAAGTGGGACTATTATCGAAATAGACAATTTTCGAATCAATTTTCCCCATAAGAAATAATGTAAATACAATTAATCTGTTCCTGACACCCAGAAGTATTAAAACAAAAATTTTTTTTACATGAAATATAGATGTAGTACATAAACAATACAATGGCACATGATGAATGAAACATTAACAGCATAACACTTACCTTTATTGGCGATTCTTCTTAGTGTATGGAAGACTGAAGGAGGAGAGAGATTGAATTACTGTTTGGAAGGGGAATCCCCTTCCATCAGCACCTCAGGTACCAAGTGCTTTTCTGGGGTTACTTCTCTTCTCTGTTTCTTAATACCACTAGGACCAGCTTGAGAGTCACTGGAGTCCTGTCTCGCAAAAAAACTGTCCAGAGAGCTCTATTTCTGGCATCTCTGTAAAACTTCCCTAAAATGGGCCAAGAGTCTGTCACTGTACAAGTTGCCGTTATGGCTTGCAACATCCTTCTCAGGGTGATGTTTCTCCATAAATCTTTCCATCCTACCCCACATTTCAAAAATCTCCTTAATTTCTGAAGAAGGCACCTTCTTCCATCTCTCTTCCTCCTCCTCTGCAGCAAGATTCTGAGCTGCGATCTGTTGCTCTTCCTGCTGAAACTCTTGCTTCTTTCATATTGTTCAATGATGATATTGTTCAGTCGTATTTCTCACTTCTTTACCAAAGGTTTGGCACTAGGAACTTTCTTTGGAGCATGGTAGCTTATTTAGCACTTGCAAGCACTAAAATGAATGGAATATTATGAAATATTTCGTATGAACACGTGAGGGGACCGTTGCTCACTGGCAAACAATGGCACACTGGCTGGGAACCGCTCAGAGCCATGAGTACGCGTCCAGGACAAAAGACGATTAGCGAGTTAACGGACCATTTGCGAGCCAATGTTTAGATGAAATAACGGTACTATTTCCGAAATGGACGACTTTCAGGCTGGACGATTATTGAGGGACCACTGTACTGCATTTTTAAAACTATTCCAACCCTCTTCAACCCCCCCCTCCCCCACTACTCATACTTGCACCAGCCCACCTTTCTGTCAATAGTTGCTTATATGTCACCCGAACTTCCTCCTCCCTTGGTTTATACACTTTCACCTCCCTCTTGCTTGTTGTTGCCATTTTCCTCTTTTCCCATCTACCTCTTACTTTAACTGTAGCTACAACTAAATAATGATCCGATATATCAGTTGCCCCTCTGTAAACGTGTACATCCTGGAGCCTACCCATTAACCTTTTATCCACCAATACATAATCTAACAAACTACTTTCATTATGTGCTATATCATACCTTCTATATTTATTTATCCTCTTCTTCATAAAATATGTATTACTTACTTCCAAACCTCTTTCTACACATAGCTCAATTAAAGGCTTCCCATTTTCATTTATCCCTGGCACCCCAAATTTACCTACTACTCCCTCCACAACATTTTTGCCCACTTTAGCATTGAAAAACCCAACCACCATTACTCTCACACTTGGTTCAAAACTCCCCATGCATTCACTCAACATTTCCCAAAATCTCTCTCTCTCCTCTACACTTCTCTCTTCTCCAGGTGCATATACACTTACTATAACCCACTTTTCACATCCAACCTTTATTTTACTCCACATAATCTTTGAAT